AGAGCAGCCTCTCCAAAGAAGTCTCTACAGAGTGGTCTCTCCAAAGAATTCTCTCCAAAGTGGTCTCTCCAAAGAAGTCTCTACAGAGTGGTCACTCCAAAGTAGACTTTTCAGTCAAAGGGGTCTCTCCAAAAGTGCCTTTAGTCACATTGTTCAAGCATCCCTCCAACAGTCACTCGGTTCGTCACTCCAGCCACTCTCCGAAAGCGTGCAATCCCTGCCCGTCACTGCCCCTGGTGTCGCATCTCAGCTAATCCCCACTTGGCAGGCTTGGCAGGCTCGGCGATCCCGCCCGTGTTATTGATGAGTCGTAATTGAGATTCTGATTCAATAAAACACACGCATGCAGTCCGTCACGCCCCACGGCCCGGCATGCCCCACTGGGGCCCACTGGGGCCCGGGCCCCACCTCGGCGCAACATTGATTCTTAATGGTCCGACTCTCTTTGTGTTAGGGAGCCCGGGGACCGCCGGGGACCGTGGACGAGATTGTGGACCGGGCCGGCACGGTCGGATCAAGACGTGGAACGTGGAACAGGCATACTACAATACAAACTCTGAATTTGTTCGCCGTTTCTTTTGGCCGGGCATCGCCGGGCATCGCGCATCAACGGGTCCGACGCCGATTGAGATTCATCAAGGCACCTTTGCTTCTTTTTCCCCCCTTCTCCTCCTCCTTCTTCTTCTCGGGCCAGACAACCCCTGATGCTCGTCCCAAGGAGTATCAAGGCGATAAGACAAAGTGAACCGTGAGTGTCTCATAGGGGCAAGACGACGGGCCCGCCAGCGGCGCAGCAGTGCGCAAGTGTGTGTGTGTGTGTGTGGAAGACAGAGAGCACTCCAAAATAAAGGCCATTTATGACACCGTAATTTGGGCCGGCTGTTTCAAGTTTTACGGCCTTCCCCGGAATTGCGCGGTGCGGGCTTGCTTAAAGTGGATGAGGTTACAGTGAGGACTCTAGAGGGAAATTTCGCCGTGCGGTTGTCTCGGCGTTCCGCCTCCAGTTTGGACCAGCGAGTTGCCCTCCAGAAGTTTCTCCTCTCCAGGGACGGCCCTCGCAGCCCTGGCACGGCCCAGGTACGGGCAGTGTTCTAAAATTCTTCAAATTGCATTCCACCGGAAGAACAAGAAGGCCGGACTCCTCTTGGGGACCTTGAACTCGGAGATTCGGCGGAGGCAAAAGGAACTTTAGCCAATTAATCGCCCTGAAGTGAATGGACATGGGCCCGGTCTCTACACGCACGCACGCAGACGGAGCGCAGACGGGACGCAGACAGGGCCGCCCCGCCAGCACGCCCCAGGTGAGTCACTGCAGCTGCAGGTGCCGGCAGACGCGCCTGGAAGTCAACCAAGACACCACCAAGACACTTGAAGGGCCCAGTTGGATCAACCCGTTTTTGGTGGTTGGATCGTGGTGAGCTGGAGGACATGTGAACTAGAGCCTAACTTCACTAAAGGCTAGCTGAACTAGGATGTTAGCGCTGAGCGGCAAGTTTTGATGTAAGTTACAAGGTAAATTTCAAGGTAAGTTTCGAGGTAAGTTTAAGGGAAGTTCAAGGTAAGTTTGAGGAAAGTTTGAGGTAAGTTTCAGACCGCCCATTGAGGCATAAAGCTCGTTTCGCAACTTCCGTCTCGCTGTCCTGGAATGTTGAACGACTTTGGTTCCCGCACGCTAAATCCAAGTCGCCAGGCCTCTGGGAAGGGAGGTACACCGAAGGCACGCCGCTGCAGTTCACCAGAGGTGGTGGAAGGGTCGAGCCAACGTCCCGAAGATTCCTCTTTATCTTTAACACTTGAAAGCAGTCGTTACCCTTGGCCGGGAATCTCTATTGGAGTTACGATAGTGTGCCGCCTAGAACTCTCCGTGTGGGGGCCTTCAAGTACACCGCGCTGGGAGGAACACAGCCAAGAAAGCTGCAAAAGGGCCAAGAGATCCATCTGCATAGTTGCATTGACTTAGGCCTGTTGATTGCTGGTCGGAACGTTATTGTCCGACATTGCAACAATTGCACTGCCTGTTCCGATGTTGATTATTTTCGCCGCCGAATTGCAGCGGAAAGAACGCCAAAGCCGCTTGCATGCCTATGTGAATAAAGTAAAGGCTGGCTGGCTGCCAGCGTGTCTGGGCGGCACGGCCGCGGCACGGACTGCCAGCTCGTCTGGCCGGGGTCCTCATTACGATAATAATGTCTTCGTTGTTGTTTTTGTTTGGAGGGGGGCTTGGGGGCCTCGGGGGCAAGGGGCCTCAGTGCCCCAGACGTGCTGACTCCAGCGATGCCCCCTCCAGCATGCCTCCAGCGAGCTTAAGAATGTCCAAGTTCAAATACTTGTGCTGTCTTCTTTTTTTCTTCACTCCCACTGACATTCAGGATTCAGATGCGGGTTCCAAACCAGCTAGGATATTCCAGGTATTTGCATTGATGCATCCACAAAAACGAGGATGTTTATTTTTTATATTTTAGCGTGCAAGTCAGACCTATCCATCTTCAGGCTGAAACTTACGTTTCTAGGAGTCATCTAGTCCTTAAAGCTTCCCGCCGGACATGTCGAGAAATGCCGCGACCGAAACCATTTAGCCTTTCCAACGACAGATGGAGGGACTGATGTTCGTTCCCATGGTGCGTGATGGTGCGCGACGGTGGTGCACGCGTGGTGGTGGCCACCCAGACACTTAGGCCCCCTGGTGGGACCATGGGTGGGACCCTCGTTCTCGCTCTGACCTCGTTTACACAAGGCAGTGTGGTTCCATCATTATTAAGTCATCATCATCCTAGAGCTTCTAATCAGTGGGAGGGGGGCGATAAATCATGTCCCCTCTCTCTGTCCGGCTGGATGAGTCAAGCACGCAGGGCGACACCGACCTTCCGGCCAATCCGAAATCTTGCCCGATTCGTCCAACTCGTCCTGCAGCACGCATTTGCCCCGCGGAGCCGACCGCACTAAAAAAGATGATGGAATACCTATAAAACGGGCGTGTGTGTTTCTAAAATCCCTCCCGGCGGTCAAGTAATGAAGATATCTGAAGCGGCCGTTCTGTATGTATGTGTGTGTGTGTGTTGGTTGGTGAGAGACGAAAGGAAGAGTGCGCCGAGGTTGCGACTAACAAGGCACCCCTTTTAAATCGGAATTATACTCATACATCAAGAAATCACCCAAAGCACTCGGCCGAATGAGGAAGGGAATGTCTGCAGAGGCTAGTATATCTAATAATTGATCCGTTATACAAAACTGACGACAGTGCCCCCGGATGATGGAACGCGGCAACAATAATGACACTTTTCGCGAATCGAGCACCAGATTATCACAGGGGACTGTTTTTGCACGGACCTCTCAGAAGGCGGAAATCTTTGCGGTGCAGGAATGGTGCGCTGAGCAAGCCGGGATGCTTCGACCAGGTAAGTAAAACAAAGCCACGTCAGCACACACACACATTCACATGCGCTCACACACACAGGCTCACACACAAACGAAAACAAACGGCGTCTTCCCTCTTTTTCGACAAAATATCGATGTTTTCAAAACGAAATGAGGATTAAAATGCATTCAGCCCAGATTGAATCAACTCAATTATTATTCAGGGATGCGCACACGCGGTTACGAGCTGGCACAGACACAATAACCACGTGCAGGCCCTCAAGATCGTCCCAAGTGTTGGGTCTTGGACACGCGACGTGGCTCGGGAATCACGGAAACGCCGTGTCGGCGACGGTCAAATGGGCCCGGCCCAAACAAGGGCCCGCCCGGAAACCACACAGCCCACTACAGCGCGTGCCCTCACCGAAATAGGGCAGGGGACTTAGGAACGGACCCCTCCGCAGCGCAGGTGCAGGCACATCGATCCACTGCGAGGCACCCACATGTCCAGGGCACACACACACACACACACACACCAGGTCGGGTGACGTACACGCTGCCTAATTTGGTATAATACGCTTGTGTCTACAGATGTTAGTTGGTGTGTGTGACGCTGCTCGGCTCGAGGGCTTGTAAATGGGCTGGACCAGTTATAGGGGGCAGCGCGCAAGTGTGTGTGTGTGTGTGTGTGTGTGTGTGTGCGTGTCCCGGAGGACTGCTGCGCACGTTCCAGAAAATCAAAGGTGATTTATAGATACGTTTGTCCGACACGTAGTGTCCGGATATCCGTTCAGTGTCGTCCACAAGCGGTTCAGGACAGCAAGCGAGACGGATTCGGCCGCACCAATCTTCGTTTATTTCCAGGTGGATACTGGCTGCGCCGCTGTTCTGTTGGGTAACGCGGCAGACAATGCCCTGCCGGTCGGTCGGGGCACAGCGGCACAGCGGGGCGAGGTAGCCGCGGCAGACACCGCGGAGACGCCGGGAAGGGGGAGGGGGAAGGGGAGGGGCCCAAGTACGCTACGCAGCCTATGCCCTGCCCCGCCTGGCCCCGCCGCTCTCCGTGGGTGGCCGCACTGGGAGTGCCGGCCGGCCAAACCAAACTTTGCCGCCAAAAGTTGGCATTCAAGTCAGACTTCGTCACCGCGCGCGGCCGCGGCTCGGTTTTCCCGGCGAGGACGGTGTGGATATTTGCACGTGGCATTCCTGGACCGCGAGGAATCTCTCACCTCTTCTATTTGCGTGCGACTTGGAGTCTTGGCCCGCCAAAACGAGACAAAGTTGGGTTAGGTTGCCCACGTGTGGACGAAACTGCTGTTTTAAATCGACATCGAGTAGGACTGAAGGTTCGTCCATTTTGGGTGAAAGAGGCACAGCGACTGGCCGGGCCCACGTGGCAAGCCTAGGCAAGCCGGCCGAGCACAGAGACGCCAGGGTGGACGCTGGAAAGAGCCAATGGGTGACGTCACCAGGAACTTTCCGCGCAACATCCCTGGTGCAAGGTGCGGACAGCGCGACCGCGGACACTGTCGGGTAAAGGCGGAATATGCAAACTATTGCAATATGTGTGGGAAAACAAATTTATCACCGCCTGAGACAATGCTCCTCAATCCCGCGCCACAAAGGTCATGGCATACACTTGAAACTTGTTTTGTATCCACAGCAGTCGTGTTTAATGTATCACAATAGAGACACAAACAGTATGCTACAACGCCATCTACCCTCTATGTATCACAATTCGCCGGAATGGTAGAAAGACAGACCATTTAGTTTAATGATTGACTAGGCTAGAAGATTCATGAAAATAAATTGAATGGTACTGAAGCCAAAGGCACTATCAACCTTTGCTGTTCCGTAAACCGGACGTGAAATTAACATAATTATGGATAACAATGGGAAAGATAGAAAATAACATACGTCAGAGTGAGAGCCATGATATGGCACAAATTCTCCAGAACTTAAAATTACGGTGACTAAAAGTACAATCCTTAAGTCACTATATGTGCTTATCTACACGATCAAATCTTAAATCTATAGGCGATAAAGCAAAGGTGAGGCAAATGGAAAGTAGATGCAACAAAATACACAGCTAAAATTGACAAAATAAATTAAAAATAACCCCGTGTATTACACTCATCAAATCAGTCAAAGCTATAAGTAAAGTGAGTTGACTCCGATTTGACAATGCGTTTTTTGGTCTCTCTGCGTGGTCCAAAGAACATGGAATGTTTTTTTTCCTTTTGTTTTTGTTTTGAGGCAGTAAGCCGCCTCGCACAGTCCAGCCTTGGCAGATCACAGTGCCCTCAACATGACGGCCATCAGGGCCATGAGGGTGGTGGCGACGGAGGCGTAGGTGGTCGCGGACGCGCTGGACAGGTTCAGGTCCTTGGCGAGCTGCTCGCCGACGTCCACGTAGACGCGGTCCTTGCCCAGCGCCAGGATGTTCTTCTTGAGCTGCTTCACGTCCACCACGTCGGTGTCGTCGCTGCTCCACACGGACAGGGTGGCTTGGCCTGGAAACAACAGATCCAACTTAGTCCCGCGCCAGGTTCCGAGAAACTACATCAGAAATGAGTTCGGGTACCTGAGGCCTGCGGGGTCTGGTCCAGGAGGCTCTTGAGCTCGTCCAGCGAGTTGGCCACGAAGGCGGCGCGCACGGCGTACGTGATGGGCTGGTCGACGGCGCTGTTCTTGATCGCAGCGATCATGGCTTTGACCTGGTCCGGGCTGTACTTGACCTGGTCGACGGGCACCTGGCTCTGGTCCAGCTTGCTGCCCCAGCGCGTGGTCCAGCCCAGGGACAGCATCAGATCGGGGTACTCCGCCTTGGCCTTGTCCAGGAAGCGCTTCGCGTCCACGGGGATGGTCCCGGACTCGCTGGCGTTGACGGGGCCCGGCAGGATGTCGGCGTTGAGCCACACGGGGAAGGCGGGCACCTGCGGAGGAAGGGAGTCAGTACCCCCTACGCCGCCCTGCGCGGCACTACCCCACGGGACGGCGTCGGGACGGCCGCAGCGCCGCGGGGTAGCGCCGCGGGCAGAGTTGAACCGCCGCCACTCCGCAGCAACCACTCACATCCTTGAAGTTCTGCTTGAGGAACTCAAGCGCCTTCTCGAAGACCTCGATGGACTTGAAGTCCAGCTTGATGCCCTTGGGGGCGTCCTGGTGGTCCGTGTTGAAGGCGGTGACGCTGCGGAGGAACTCGAGGAGGGACAGGTCCGAGGAGTCGGCCGGGGGGTGTCCCATGACGGGCTGCCCAGCCGCGGACATGATCACATCGGCCTCCATCATCATCACCGAGCCTGCAAAGGAACGGCGGCGAGTTCAGGAGCACGCCGACGACGCCGTGGACGTCGTGCCACTTGACGCACGGCCAGTGGCGCCACCTACGCGGATTAATTGATGAACTGTCCCACCAGGCTGGCCACCACACCGCAAGGTGGCGTGCCTGCGAGCTGACAGACATACAGACAGTGAGACAGACAGACAGGGCCCTACACTGCGTCGTGTTCGTACTTCGTACCCTACAAACCTACTTTCCCTTTGAAAAGCAACCGTGTATTCTTCTCTCCTCCTTCCTCAGTCGATGGCGCCGCCCGCCACGGCGAGCCACGGCGTGCCAGGGCGAGCCAGGGCCGCGTGTGAGGTTTCGCCCGTTTCGCCGCCCCCTGCGATGCGCTGTGATGCCGACACGTGTCGCTCCGTCTCTCTCGCACTCGAGGGGCGTGCCGCAGGGTGCAGCAGGACCGCAGGGGTGCGAGCGAGACAGAGCGATGTAAGAGCGGCCACCTCTACGACGGCCACCTCGTCGTCGCGCGGACGGCGGGTCGGAGGGGGCAGGCGCCAACAGCGACCCCCAGGGCGACCCCCGGCAGGGCGGGCAGCGTCGATCTGTCCCTCTCGTACCTCTCCGGCGCCCCCCGTGAGTGCGAGAGGGACAGAGTGACGCTCGTCATCGCCAGGCACTGCCCAGGCAGGGTGTGTGCACATCCCTCCCTGCAGTGCATGCAGTGCACCACAGGCAAAGGAAAACACCGCCAACCCCCTTACCTGGATGACTCGACCACTCCGCCGCCCTGCCGCCCCGTAGGTGGCCGGGCGCCGCCGGGCGGGGGGCGCGCGTAAGCCACGTGATGGGGAGGCGGTGCACAGTGACAGTGGCCAGATGACCGGTGGTCTACTCTAGACGCGTTTCGAGCTCCAGGGTCGCTAAACAGAACTCGAGCAGAACGTGTGACCCCACCAATGGATTACTCTCCGAACGAGGAATTCATTGGTGGGATCACACGTTCGGTTCGAGTCCCACTTAGCGCCTCTGAAGCTCAAAACGCGTCTAGAATTTTGGCCCCCTCCTCCGGTCTTCTGGCCTACTGCTGCTCATGTTGTGCACACGCCACCTGTACGAACACGATCATGATCACCTTGCCGATAGGCCCCACCCCCATGCAGCGCTCTGTCTCTCTCGCACTCGTGGGCCGCGCGGCGTGCGAGACAGAGCGACGAGAGCAGTGTTCAGCCTGACACCTACATGGTGTTATGCACGGGGCTTCTCGCTGACCTTCGCCGAGTCAAAGACTCGCCGGCCACTCTGCTGGTGCTGCAGGATGCAGGATGGGTTGCCTACCGCCGGCGTGCGTTGTGCTGCCTGCCTGCCAGGCGGCGGGCTGGCAGAGCTGGCAGCAGCGCGCCGAGCAGCGCGGCCGCCGCGCGCCGCCGGAGTACGTTGGGTTGCCTACCCGCTCGACGGCGGGCGCTTCACAGCGGGCCGGGGGAGGAGCCCGAAACTCCAGACGCGTTTTGAGCTCCACAGTCGCTAAATGGGACGCGAACCGAACGTGTGACCCCACCAATGGATTGCTCTCCGGACGAGGAATCCATTGGTGGGGTCACACGTTCGGTTCGAGACCCATTCAGCGACTCTGGAGCACAAAACGCGTCTAGTGTATTGGCCCCCTCCACCGGTCTTTCTGACGAATCCACTGTGCACTTGCCTTGGACTCCGAGGACCACTCTGGCCGCTCCGCGCTCCGCTACACTGTCAGGCTGACGGGGAGCTCGATTCGGTTCCGGTGGCCCGGATATGCCCGGATATGCCCGGATACTGCCGCTGGCGCCGCTGGCCGGGCCGCGCCTTGTTTGCCGCTGTCAGAACGCGGAAGCCAGGCGTCGGGGAGCTGCCCGTCCAAGGCCACGGGGTGAGCCCCGCCACGGCCCCGCCACGCGAGGAGCAGCAGACTCATGCCGCTGTCTCTCTCCCGCCCATACGGGACGCCTCAAGAGAGCGAGAGAGACAGCGCGGCGAAAAGGACCCTCGGAATCAGTCTGCCTGCAGTATGCACACGCCAGCCCACGCCAGCCGCCCGCGCGAGCCATCATCCCCACGACCCACATTTCCTCCAACCGGAACGGAACTATCGCTTTCGCAGCCCGACGCGCGTCGGGAGTGTCACGCATGCGACCCAAAAATCAGCCAACCACATAATTATGAGTTTAACTCGTCCTATGCACCACGCCTATGTCCGTTACAGAGACACCCAAAGTCGGGATTTTTGTCGAGTCGGCATAAACTCCGTGACAATGACCAGGTGGCGAGGTGCTGCGAGGTGCCGCCGCTGCCGCCGCGAGGTGGCGGTACTTTGAATGGGCGCCGAGGCCAGTCTTTATCATTGTCGCGGCTCTCAAGGCCCCCAAGGCCCTCAAGGCCCCGGGCTGGCTGGGGTTACGAGCGGTAGGTAGGCGATGACAATGGCTTTATCACGCAGGGGCCGTGCCGAGGCACTCGTGGACATCCTCCACCGTCAGGAGGACCTAGCGGACCTACACTCGGACACGGTGGGCGTGGAAGAATCAATGTATTTTTCAATTTCAGTATTTTGCACTAGATTTTTAAAAAATTTATGATTTTTTCTTATTTTTATGACGAGGCACACGTAGTTTTAGGCGCGTCACGACTAAAAATGGCGGCACTGTGGAATGTATTTTTGCCGCCGCACCATAGCCATGCCGTAGGCCGCAATAATCATCGGCGATGCCACAAAAGCAATCTCGGGAGCGAAATGAACGCGGCCAAATTGCCTGACCGCCATCCGAAGCAACGGCTAGGCAAAAAGACACTTCAGCAGACGGACGCACAGAAGAGCGGTGGAGGCGGCCGAAACTCTAAGACGCGTTTTGAGCTCCAGAGTCGCTGAATAGGACTCGAACCAGACGTGTGACCCCACCACTGGATTTCCTCTTTCGGAGAGCAATCCATTGGTGGGGTCACACGATCGGTTCGCGTCCCATTTAGCGACTCTGGAGCTCGAAATGCGTCCAGAATTTCGGCCGCCTCCACCGGTCACCACACAGCGCACCCCCGCGTCCTTACCGTTCAGGGCCTCGGCCAGCAGGGACTGGTTGTTGACGGCGTGCGCCCAGGAGATCTTGGTCAGGTCGCCGTTGATCTTCGGGAAGAAGGCACTGATGTTCTGCGAGTCCGGGACGGCCTTGACGGCGCCGGCCACCCCGATGGGCACGGCGGGCACGGCGGGGACCGGCGTGGAGGCCATGGCGTCTGCCAAAACAAGCAAGGACACTGATAAAATCAACATGGCCAGCTCGGACGGCTCGGACACAGGGCAAGCGCCTCGATAGTGGGCGGGTATCTAAAAAGCACTCTCGTGTTGCAATTGGCCGGGCCGTCGCCGATGCCAGCAAATACTCTACAGACTCCCCCTTCCCTTCCCGAAGGGCGTGATCGCACACCCCGCCAGAGGGGGAGGCCACAGAGGAATGTTCGGCAAGGTGAGCAAAGTGCGTGCACAGTTAGTGAAGAGTACTCCTTGCTGACTTTCACCGACTTTCACACCCAAAACAAGAAAAAAATCCTTTCTTGTATATTATAAGAATTTTTTATCCTTACTTCTTTTACGTACAAACAACAAGTTTCTGGAATCAAAATGTAAAAAAAAGACAAAAAATTAAAAATTTAGGAATTTTTTTTTTCTGGGTGTGGTGACTTTGTGGACTCGTACATCTCAGGGAGAACGGCGAGCATGGCCACCCGCGAGGCGTGCCAGTGCACTGGACAAAACCAGACACCACCCCAGGGCCCCCCAGGGCCCCCCAGGGCCCCAGGGCCGCGGGTACTGCAGTGGAGTGGACGGCCCCGAGTCACGCAGCGGGTCAGCCAGCAGTGATACCACGGCCAGGGGGACTAAAGAGCAGCGGTAAGTGTCAACGTTCAGGCCGAGTTCAGGCCGCCACAATAATCGATTTTGAACCAAATTCTTCGGTCTCACTTATTTCTGATTAGGACAGGTATTACCTTAGTCGGTTTACCCAGTAGCGCAGTTTTGTTTTTGCTTTTTTTTTTCTTTGGGGGGGGGCTGAGCAACCGTAGCTATAGTCGAGTTAGTCGTCGTCGCGCGGGGGAAACGGGTGGCGCGCTGCTGCCCCTGGCCGGCGTGATCCGCAAACACAACACGCATCCAGTATCCAAACACAGAAACAATCGCCTCCGCTATCGTTGTCCGAAACGGCCGTCACCTTGGTCTGCCAGGGCTCTGCCCGCGTGCGTGCGTGCCTACACCTCTGCGCGCATGTGTGTCTGTGTGCCCCACTTCAGCGGACATGCGTTCACCTGTCGTGTTCAACAGGAGGAGAAGAGCCCCAGCGTGGCAAGGCACAGTGTGGACGAACATTGTGGACGTGGGCCCAGACGCGTTTTGAGCTCCAGAGTCGCTAAATGGGACTCGACCCGAACGTGTCACCCCGCCAATGGATTGCTCTCCGAACGAGGAATCCATTGGTGGGGTCACACGTTCGGTTCGAGTCCTGTGTAGCGACACTGGAGCTCAAAACGCGTCTAGTACAGTTTTGGCCGCCTCCGCCGGCCTTCTGGCCCACTGTGCGGCGAGGGTGCGGTCACCTCGCACGGCCGCCACGCCGCCCGCCAAGGCAGCGTTATTGATGACAAGAACACACCCCGGCTCCGTTTTGTGCAGCACACACCTCACCGCACCCTGGGCCGGGCCCGGTCTGCCCCGGTCTAGCACGTCAGCCCAGCCATCACTTAATTAGGATTCGGGGGGGAGGGGGCAACAAAGAGAAAATGCTTTCAGGATCAACAATAGTCCAACGAGGCAGGGAAAGGCAGGTGTGAGGCCAAAAAAAGACGCGCCACTGAAAAAAGGGGGTAAGGACGTGGAAAATGCGCGGAAAATTAAAAAAAAAAAACTTGGTCCTGGCTGGCGGATTTGGCTGTTTCTACTCTGCTTTATTCATCCCCCCTCCCCCTCACACTTCCTGGATGTGACGCACAGACTTCCAAAGTCTCCCCCGCGTGCCGTGCCGTGCGAGCGACCGACCCCGAGCAGAACGGCCTGTACATCTTTCACGCCCTACACTGGTTATATAGTGGGAGCGGCCCATGACCTGTCGCGTCGCAGACGGGGACAGTCGTTACATTATATATAGACAATACGTTGACGAAGATAGACACTCCACATGTCACCACCATCCAATTCTTTTTTTAAAAAAATCCCTGCTTTGAAAAGAAAAATTAGCGGCAATATTCTTAATTCATTTATAATCGTTAAAAAAAAAAGAACAAGATTTCGTAAAATTTCTGTTTTTATAGTAATTTTTTGTGTGGGGGGGGGGAGCCCCGCGAGCAGAGACTCTAATCCCACTAAATTCCTGCCCTGCCCTGCCCGGCACGTGGATGCGGCTTCACTGATAATCGTTCGAGTAATCGTTTGTGTGATTCGCGAGCCCATTTATTGCTGCTGCTGGTGGAACTTGTAGTGTAGTGTCCTACTGTACTATGTGCAGCCGCGCGACCGCCACAGGGCAACATGGCAATGACTGCAATCCCCTTCAGATTAACGAAAACTGCTGCGAGACAACGGCACACGAACCATTCTTTGCGTTTGCATCACAGAGCTTGACTCACAGAGTACACACTGCTACCCCCCGCAGTAGGCGCGGGAAACGCAACTCACCCACCCCCTAACCAAGTCGACACGTGCTCGCGTCAGGGAGTGTGTGTGTGTGTGTGTGTGTTTTTGTGTTTGTGTGTGTGTGTGTGTGTGTGTGTGTGGTGTGTGTGTGTGTATCCTTTCCCAACATCCCCCTTCTCGCACCTTTTTCCCCATTTCAAAAGCAGGCCAAACGGTTTCGCAGGAAAAACGTAATCTCGAGGGCACTGTGTTTTGTCAGCAGTGTAGACGAGTACCCGTGTCCTTTCGACGAACACACACACACACACGACACAAACGCCCGGTAATGAGACGAGCCCCCTTCACTTAACACGGCCCACCCGATGTCCTCTCTGTCACACCAGCAGGTACTTTCCCAGGGTCCGTCCACAAATAGTGTCTATTTCCCTCCTTTTTCATCGAAAATATTTTTATTTTTTGCGATGTGAGACGCCGTAGCGAATCTTGCCCGAGGATATAATGCTTCACTTCGGTGCCATGAGGTTCATTTAGTCACGGGTGCGGTGGTCCATGCGATCCCTCCGCCTTCTAGATCGACAAAGCGTTCCCACGAGTTGGCGCAAGTTGGCGCGATGCAGAGTTTTAGGCAGAAATCCTGTATCTGGCCATTTCCCCTTCCGTTCCGAAGGAACACGGTGGCTCGGTGCAAAAAGTGTAAACGCACCAGTGACAGTGCGCTAGTGTCCGATCCAGGTACGAAACGATTAGATAGTTGGGGGCGACATATGTGAGACATGCCCACGGTGGCATGTGTGTGTACAGAGGACTGGGGCGACATCCTGATTCCTGTTCGCACCTGCCCGCGGCTCGCTAACCAGGGAACCAGGGGAACCTGGGAGACCAGGACTGGCCAGAAAGCCGCAGAAGCAGGGCAGTTGCAACCATGAATGCTCCGCACTGGTCGACAGCACGTCGTCACAGAGCAGTATTTTCGTTGGACCAGTTTCGTCGTGCTTTTTTCTTTTTTTCAGGCGGGTCGCTTTGCACGATCTGGACAAGGTCCCTGCAAACAAGGCGTCGCTACCCCGCGCATCGTTACCCTTAACCTCAGGCCAGCGACAATGGCCGAAAACGCGAGTGGCAACGTTTGCCACTGGCACACCGCTCCGTCGACAGTCCACGTCTATCCCGAACACGACCGCCGGCGACAGCGTCGCTCTGTCTCTGTCGCACTCTGGCGGGACGCCCCGTGAGTGCGAGAGAGACAGAGCGAGCCAAAAGTGGAGAGCTCGTAAACAAGCAGATCACGACGCGGCGCCTTTTTTAGCGGCGCACGCACAAGACTTTCGGGGCGACGGATTCAGGGTGACCCGTCACTACTCCGCGCGCGAGAGACATCCGGACACCGCGCGCGGAGTATCGGCAGGGTCATTTGCCGTGTCACTGGTTATCTCGAGGAAGGCAGCCGCCAGCGCCGCGCATAGCACCGTGCAGAGCACCGTGCATAGCACACCCGTAAATTCAATTTCTAAATTGAGTTACAGTGGCGTGGCTGTCCGCTTGCCGCTTGGTCTCGCCGTCCACGTGGGCACTCTAACCTCGCAAACGGCGGCGACAGCTCCACGCGATGTTTACACTGAAAACGACGGCCGCCCGACCGTCCCATTTGACAGCGCTGTGCACTCTGGGCGAGACGTGAGCCAAACGCGGCGGATGTCACTGGGGCCTCCACTGTCACACAAGAACAAGAACGCAGAGGTTACTCACCGGCGGGCTGGGCAGACACGGGCGCGAGGAAGGCGCAGAGCACGGCGACGAGCAGGGCCGGCAGCTGCGGCCGCAGGGCGCTGGTCCAGGCCATGGTCAAGAGAGAGGCGACACTACAGGGGTGCCCGCGCGGCGGGTGCGAAGCACGAAGCACAGCGAAGCACAGCGAAGACGGCGTTTGTGTCTTCGGCGGCGTCCCGAAGTCCAAGTCCAAGCTGCTGCCGGTGAGGAGGCTCAAGCACGACTGCGAGGTGGGAGCGGAGCGGAGCGGGAGCGCGGAGCCGTGAGCGGAGCGCGCGGCGTACTACCTCGTCCACCTCGTCCCAGCTGAGCGCCGCGCCGCGCCGCGCCACGCCGCGAACCCCACAGGGGAGGTGTGTCAGACGAGGTCCGTCCGTCCGTCTGTCCGTCCGCCTCGGCGGCCGTCCGGCTGTCCGCCCACGCCACTCGCGCGCCAAATCTTGGCCTCGGCGTCCACCTGGCCGCGAAGCAACGCGACGCCGCGCCGCGTGGATTCGCGGATTCCCATTGCGGGCGCGCCACACTGTACACAAATAGCGTTCCACACCGCGGGGTGTCGTCTACACTGTAAGGCTGCAGGGGCTTCGCAAAAATTATTTATCTTCTTCAACTGGGCAGAGAGGCGCTCTCGGACAGATAGTTGTTTATCTACGGCAGATCTACTTTATGATGGCCCGGCCTCCGAAAATTACAATGACGTGTCTTTTTTGCCTGGACTGTACACTAGGCTCTAGAACAACAAGCGTTTGAACCGACTTCCCGAAATCCCGTGAGGCGTTATCGTCGCCAGTAGAGAGCTCAAAGGAGCGAACACGGCTGTTCGGATATGTTGCGAGCCGAAGCACTTTTCGGCTTCCGAAGATACCCGAACTCCTCGACACTCGCTCGTTGAAACCTCTGCTTCCGGTTCGACACCCGCCTTTTTCGGAAGCTGGCCAACAGAATCCCCCACTCACCCTTCCTAGTGTCTGTCGCAACCTTCCCGACAGGTGCTGCCCTCTAGTAGCTATCGTTCGGCTCCGAGCGACCCGTCGGTAGTTCTTCGGGTTGCTCCGGCGACCGAGCCGCCGAGCCAGCCGCAGTCCGGCTCGCCCGGCTCGACGCAGAACCGAGTCGGACGAGCCGAGCTCGGCAGAAGCCTTCGTTTTCGGTCGTTCGGACAGGCAGTGTTCGCTCGTTTGAGCTCTCTAGTCGCCAGCGCGTCCCGAAGAGCAATAAACACCTTGTCAAGTGTGACAACGCGACCATTCGGACGGACTTTGCCGCGGGCGCGGCGGGCGTGGCGGGGCGGCCTCGAGCGCTTCATAATCTCCCGCGTCACCGCGCGAGACCAGGGCAGGGCTGCCACCCGCACGGCGCGCAAGGCCAGACTAAGGTTACCTCAGGTTAGCCACCCCGCACATCCGCGTACTTGTGTCTCCGACTGTACCCGCCATTCACGCTATTCACACGGCCGAACTGCAAATAACTCTCTGCCCTTCGCCTGATCGTGCTCGCCGAGCAATCCGCCGGCTCGCTTGCCCACCGGGGGCGGTATTGGGAAGGGGTAGGAAGGGGGAGCTACACCACCGCTCTGTCTCTCTCGCACCGATGGGGCGTCCCCTAAAGGCGTGAGGGAGGCAGCGACGAAAACTACTCTCGGGATCAGTCCGCGCTGTACTCTGTAACATACTCACGCACCCGTTACGTGCCCATGCCGTTGACTCGGACCGTTGTTGGCTCGGCTGCTGGCGCCACTGCCGCCCCGCTTCGCCTCCTGGCGCTGTCCCCCTCGCACTCACGGGCCGTTGCGTGGACCCAGGGTGGGCCTGCACGGGTGTGAGAGAGAGAGACACGTCGCTGAGGGGCGGCCCCCGACGACGCCAACGACGCCATTCCCCTCCCCGTCCGGCGTGGTCCGACGGTCCGGCGTGGTCCGGCGGCGGGCGACGTGATTTTTGGCGTCTGTCCGCGAACTCTTTAGCGGACTGGACACGGGGCGCGTCGTTCCGTCTCTCTCGCACCCCTTCAGCACTCCTCGCGGGTGCGAGAGAGAGAGGGGCAGTCGACGCGGCGAGGGCGAAGCGGGCGAAGCGGGCGAAGCGAAGCCTGGTGGGGAGCGCGATGTGTGCTGCTGTGCCGCTCCCCCGTGTGAGCCGCCAATGTCAGTTATGCATGACATCTGCAGGCTGATCCCCGGCAGTATCGCTCTGTCTCTCTCGCTCTCGTGGGCCGTCCGGGCCGTCCCGCAGAGGTGCGAGTGAGACAGCCACGACGTGTTCGGGATCAGCCAACCGTCCAGTAACACTCTGCCCGTTCAGTTCGCGATTTATTTCCTTACTCTAGAAACGTAGAAAATGACAATGGAAAATGGTGGTTGAGTGAAAAAGTGAAGTGGAGGCAGGCGCCGCACAGTGGGCCAGCAGACCGATGGAGGCGGCCAAAACGCTAAACGCGTTTTGAGCTCTGGAGTAGCTAAACAGGACTCGAACCGAACGTGTGACCCCACCAATGGATTGCTCTTCGAACGAGGAATCCATCGATGGGGTCACACGTTCGGTTCGAGTCCCATTTACTGTAGCGACTCTGGAGCTCAAAACGCGTCTCGAGTTTTGGCCGTCTAGCCCACTGTGCGCCGGTCGCAACGGCTTCATTCAGTGTTCGTCGGGCTGCCGGTACGTAGAGCGGCAGAGCGCGCACTTGACTTGGAATCAGTCTTTTCTTTCCCGCCGAGCTCGAGTCAATCGAATCGAAAGCCGAGACGGCCGAGTCAAAGTTCGCCGGCGGCGTTCCTGTCCGGCGGCGGCGGTTCCTGCGCTGCCGGGCTCGACGTCGTGGACGTTGCGGACTCGCGCTCGTCGGCCTTCACCTCCTCCTCCGGCACGGCGGCCGCGCTGCCGTTCCGGTGCGGCGGGTCGTCTTCCGGCTCGTCCGGTTCCGGCGTGCCGGAGTCCTCTGGCGCGGACACCGGGGCGAGGCCGCCGCGGGGGACGGGGCTGCTCGTGCCCGTCGAGGCCTCGGTGCTGGCGGGACTAGCGGCCGAGAGAAGGGGTTGCAGCGCGGTGCCGGCGGTCCCGGTGGCGGCCAGGCTGGCCAGACTCCGCGCGCGCGTCCGCGCCTCGTGCAGCAGCGGGGGCGTCGCGGCGAGCTGGCCGTGCTGGCCGTGCTGGCCGTTGGCGCTGCAGGCACAGGACAGGCTTGTCGATACTCCGCGCGGCGAGGACAGTGGAGTCCGCGGGGTAGCGATGGCGTCGCCAAAGTGTTGACTCACAGTGAGCCGAAAGACCGGCACCAGCGGCCAAAGGTAACTCTGGACGCGTTTTGAGCTCCAGAGTCGCTAAATGGGACTCAAACCGGACGTGTGACCCCACCAATGAATTGCTCTCCGAACGAGGAATCCATTGGTGGGTTCACACGTTCGGTCCGAGTTCCATTTAATTTAGCGACTCTGGAGCTCAAAACGCGTCCGGGACTTTGGCCGCCTCCACCGGTCTCATGGCCCACTGTGCGACGGCGACCCCGGCCGGCCACGTCGGCGCGCTTACCTGTGCTTGCCGGCGGGCGCGGCGACGGCGCCGTGCGCGATGCTGGCGCTCTTGGCCACCACGGAGGCCACCAGGGCGAGGGTGTCGGCGCGCAGGCGGCGACGGTGGCTCCGCAGCATGAGGGCGGCTGCGACGCAGCCCACGCCGCCCAGCACCAGGGCCGCCGCCGTGCCCAGCAGCATGGCGGGCAGGTGCAGCAGCAGGCGCAGCGGCCTGGCCAGCTCCGGGGTGATGGCGGCGCGCTGCTCGAACCAGATGACGGGGAACATGGTGCGCTCGGGCACCTTGGCCAGCATGCTGCAGACACGCAGAACCTGTCTCTCTCGCACTCATTGGGCGCCCCGCAATCGATCCGGCGGCGTTGCCGCCGTGCTTCCGCCGACACACTTACTAGATGTCCCGGTTCTTCTGCACGAGGAGGTTGATCTGGAAGCGCGCCGCCACGTCCAGGGGGATGCCGTACGTCTGCCACACCAGAAGCAAGTCAGGGGGGGGGAAGCAAGGACACGAATCAACCCTCAGGATGGCGCACAGTAGGCCGCAGAAGACCGGTCGCGGCGGTCGAAAATCTGGACGCGGTTTTCAGCCCCGCAGTAGCTAAACTCAAACCGAACGTGTGACCCCACCAATGGATTGCTCTCCGAACGAGGACTCCATCGGGGGGGTCGCGCGTTCGGTTCGAGTCCTGTTCAGCGACTCTGGAGCTCAAAACGCGTCGAGAATTTCGGCCGCCTCCACCGGTCTTCTGGCAAGTCCACTGTGCCGACTGTGCCGAGCGCTCACCGGCTCCAGGGCGATGTAGAAGGCGTGGCGGTCGGCGCTGGGCGCCATGCCGCTGACGGCGTGCCGGTACGCGGCGTCGGCCTGGTGGAAGTGCGGGAAGGACACGAAGGCCGGCGCGCCGTAGCGACACGCCGACACGTTGGCCACGCCGCCGGCCACGCACTCGCCGCCGCAGAAGCACTCGTTGTCGCCGTCCAGCTGTCCGTTGTCCAGCATCAGCGGGCCGCCCTCGTAGCGCAGCCCGTCCACCCCCGCCTCGTGCATGCGCTGCACGTAGTCAAGCGACACCGACCTGGACATTAGAAAAATTGTTAGGCTTGGGTGGGACTCGAACCAGCGCCAGCGGGATACCCTGAGAAACTGACCTGCACAGGTCGGGCGCGAACAAGCTGATCCTGTCGCCGGTGCCGCGGCCCGGTGGAAACAGTTCGCCAGCCGAGCCGCGCAGCTCGCCGCACTGGTTGTCGTAGAACGGGGTGAAGTTGTTGTAGTTCCAGCGCCGCAGCTCGCCGAGGTGCCCCACGTCCAGCACGCCCGTGTCCATGTTGAAGTGGCCGTCGTACTCCGTGGAGCCGTTGCGCTGCGCGGGGAGGAGCGGGTTCAAATCCCGGCGGGGTACGCGACTAAAGCAGGACTCGAGCCGAACGTGCGACCCCATCAATGGATTCCTCGTTCGGAGAGCTATGCACCAGTGGAGCTCACACGTTCGCCACTAGAGTTTTGGCCGCCTCCACCGGTCTTCTGGCCCATTGTGCGCCTCACCATGTAGAACCAGCCGAACTTGTCGAAGCTGGGGATGTCGATGCCCGCCAGCCCGGGCACCTTGGACGCGATGGTGATGAGGGGGTCCTCGAAGCCCTCGAACAGGAACTGGCCCACCGTCCTGGTGATGTTGATGGCCTGGTTGGTGGAGCGCAGCGCCAGCGCCACCGAGCGCCGCATCAGGAAGCTCCAGTCGCGGACCACGTGCGCCGCCGTCTGCAACGCGGAGTATCGCCACACGTCACGCCGCGCCTCTACCCCGGCGTCGCAGGGACTCTACGAAAAGGGGCCTGCACTGCACAGAGGGCCAGAAGACCGGTGGAGGCGGCAGCAACTCTAGACGCGTTTTGAGCTCCAGAGTCGTTAAATGGGACCGAACCGAACGTGTGACCCCACCAATAGATTGCTCTCCGAACGAGGAATCCGATGGCGGGGTCACACGTTCGGTTCGAGTCCTGCTTAGCGACCGTTAGCGACTCTGGAGCTCAAAACGCTTCCAGAGTTCTGGCCGCCTCCACCGGTCTTCCGGCAAACCCACTGCGGGCTGTTTGCACTTGCCAGCGCCACCACGTTGAGGGTGGTCACGTTGTCCGCCAGGGTGCCGTTGGAGAACTCGGCGTCGAAGTACCAGCGGCGCAGCTGGCGGAAGGAGATCGTGCCGTTGTTGGCGTTCCAGGTGATGTTCACCTTCTCCTTCGTCTCCCTACAAAACCATTTTTTTGGTTTAAAAAAATATTTGATACCTTTTTTAAACAAAGAATGTGAACCGTTCTGTTTTACACGGGGACCTGTGAGGTGAACGCGCTCGTCCCGTCAATCTACGCCCAGTCTATGCCTCATGCATCCACCCGCATCGCGAAGGCGACGCCCCCCCTCCACTTTTCCTTTCCAGAGAGCACTGTACTCTGACTGCACCGCCCATTGAGTTACCCCAATTACGCCATGATTGGCCTTCATAACCCTGCAAGGCTCGGCTCGGCTCGGCTCGGCTCCGCGCTAATGCCCGACAACAAAAGCAGTGCGTGTCCGGATCAACTCTCCAAATAGATTTACTGACCCAATTCGAGCGAGTGAAACATTGACAAATTCCGACACTTTTTGACGAGAGACTGGCGCTTGCTTCCACCCAGCTGCTGTGGTCGAAGGGTTCCCGAGGCGCGGGCGAAATGAAATATCTGCAAACGGCTCACTTGAAGCGGTAGGGCCCCATCTGCTCGAAGTGGGGCTTCTTGAGCGGGTCCTCCACCTCCTGGGGGTTGGTCCAGTTCCAGAAGTAGAAGTCGATGTGCAGCGGCACCGGGGTGGTGCGCCACACGCGGAAGCTGGTGGACCGCGGCGACAGCTGCAGCTCCTGCGAAGCGTCAAGAAGGCGGCCAGACAAAAGAAGAAGAAAATGTTATTTTCTACGGGATATTCTTCCCTTGACAGAATTCAGAGCGTCCATTGGTTTGAAGCCCCCCTGCAGTGGAGCGGCTGGGCCGCACCCCGCGCGGCAGTGCGCGTTGGGTTGCCCTCGGCAGGCGTTGCAGACACTCATGCAGACACTCCTTGAACGGCGTGCGGAGGTTTCGAACCAAGGCTGCCACGCGGCCTCCCGAAATCTCAAGTGGAGGGGCCGCTAATCACTTTACAGTCGCCGGCAAGCAGAGTGGGTCAGAGGGCCGATGGAGGCGGCCAAAACTCTAGACGCGTTTTGAGCTCCAGAGGCGCTACACAGGACTCGAACCGAGCGTGTGACCCCACCAATGGATTCCTCGTTTGGAGAGCAATCCATTGGTAGGGTCACACGTTCGGTTCGGGTCCTGTTTAGCGACTCTGAAGCTCGAAACGCGTCCGGGATTTTGACCGCCTCCACCGGTCTTCTCGCCGCCACTGTGCGCCCAGGCTTCCATTCCCATTCGGAAAAGAGTGTGGGCTTTCGGCGAGCGAGGCACGCGGCGCCATAGAGTAGCATAATCTGAGGTTTCACCGTGCAGCCACCCACCTTTTTCCCCCCTGGAGCGCCTGCGAGGTAGGCCACCGGCCCGGCCCACAACACACCGCTGTGGAGACGGTGGCCTACGTTGCCCCTGCCGCCTCCACAGGGGTGAGGTAGGCCACCGTCTCCACAGAGGTGTGCTGCCGCACGGGCCGGTGGCCCACCTCGCAGGCGCTGAAGGCCACAAGCAAGCGGTGCTACGGGAAGCAGGCACCTGCCTACACGATGAAGCCGCACTTGAAGTCGCGCACAGGCCCTGGCTTCAGCCTGCCTACCTGGGCAACTTCTCGAGAAGACGGAAAGTAAGCAGGCCGAGGTTGGCAACCCTTCCAAACACCGGCGCAGCGCGGGGTTTTTGGCCCACTTGTATGTGGCTCGCATGTGCATACGGTCACACAGACATGCAGGGCAAGGCCAGGCAAGGCCAGGCAAGGCCAGCGGGAAACTAGATACCGGCACCGAGTGTCGCGAGCAGCCGCCGGCGATAGCCGCGCCGCCCGCAGCCCAATCCATTCCGCAGGGGAACCAACATCACAAACAAAAACAATTAGCAAAGTCGTTTGTACTCACGCTGTGCACCACCAGGGTGAGGAGCTGGGTCCAGAAGACGGCGAGGCACAGCCCCAGCGCCAGGGAGACGCCCCCGACCCAGAGCAGGGCGCGTTCCTTGGCCGAGCGGACGCCGCCGGGGCCTGCAGGGCCCGCAGGGCCGCCAAACAACAACAACAATTAATTTAAAAAACAAACATGAAAGTTAAATATCCGAAAGAACCACAATAATTTTCAGTGGCCCGGACAAGTCGCAAGGATGAATGAGACATTCATTATCTCATATCTCATCTCGCTGTCTCAAACACCACATTTTTAAATTGCTGTTTTTGGGGGTTTTCATTTTGACATTGGTCATTTTTAACTCACCGCGGTCGACCCGGCCCGCCAGCCCACCGGAGTCCTCGTCAGAGTCCATGCCGAGATGTGACAGTGCCAGCACTCGGCGCGCGCCAGAGGGGCGTCGGCCTGGGCGTCGCCGTCGGCATGATGCAGGGCGTGCAGGGCGTGCGGAGCGTGCCGAGCCCCGGGCTGACCGCGCCGACGCCTCGCCGACGGCCAGCCAGCCTTGCGGCCATGGCCAGTGCACTACTAACGCCGTGGCACACGCACAGCCCCGCACCCACGCCGTGCAACCTCTCTCTCTCTCTCTTTCCCCATTTCCCCCACCCTTTCTCTCTCTCGGCTCCCGGATAACGCTGAAACCTTATCGGGCTGGCGATTTCAATACGGGCTGCGTGCCGAGACTAGCATCAGTTGCCGCTATCTACCCATCTACCTATCCTTGTCTGCAGCATGCTCCAGTCTCCCCAGGGAGACAGAGGACGGGTTGTGATTGACGCTGTCAAGTGCAGGTCATGGCTCCGCGCGGGACTGACTGGCGCGCGCCCCCACCAATCGGAGGGCACTTCAAACGGTTTTAACTGTTTTAGAGGGTTCCAATGTTGGCGTGATTTGGGTCTACTTACCGCGTCCACCACTGCAGCAGCAGCAGCAGCCGACGACGGACGACGTGCAGGCGAAGCACCGCCAGCCGCAGCGCCACAGCCAGAGGCGACCGTCGTCCCCGGGGGCCTTCTTCGCCTTCTCGGCGTGCTGCAGGCCCTGCACCTCCACCATGGCGACGGGGATTGACGTCGAGGAGCTGGCCGTCCAAGAGGTGCCCGTCTGCCAAGGAGGTGGCCGTCGAGAAGGTGGCCGTCGAGGGGGTCGCCGCGTGGACCTGCCCGCCACCCTTCAGCTCTGCACCGCTGCGACTGCTGCTTGCTGCTGCTGTGACAGGCGGCGAGGGGCGGCGAGGGGCGGCAGGCCTCCGTCAGTCAGTGGTCAGTCAATCAGCTGTCCACCGCTTGGCCGCGCCACGCCACGCCGCGCCCAGCCGCTGCTTCCTCACTTTGCCTCGTCTTCATTGTCCACCTCGGCCGCGACACCGCGACCCAGAAGTGAGGTTATGTCTGGCTGGAGCGGCTGGAGCGCTGGAAGGCGCACAAAAGTCGCTGATAAGGCTAGGTCAGGAGTCGCACGCACATGTCACGCAGTGACGTAATGACGCCCTGCGTGACGCCGTGGGACTCGTTCGTGACGACTGTGTGACGAGTGTGACGAATCGTCGGGTGGGCTTGTTCTGGCGCGTGCGGCCCGCGTGTGACAACCAGTCGTCACAGGTGTGGCTTCCCCCTCCCCCTCCCCGCCGCCGGCCCAACCCGTCTCCTGGTTTTTCTGCCCGTCCGTGAGCTGTAAACCGTATCATGTTACCCAGCCCAAATATTCACAGAAACGCTGTAAATGAAACAAAAACATTTCAAAATTAGTAAGTTTTTTGCGATGTATTTTAGCATTCTATTATGGAATTCGTATTTACCCAAAAGGGGCACGGAGGAAAATCCACAGAAAGTAAGTCAGAGCTGAATTGAAGAGTCGCGACTAATGGTGTAAACCGCATCGATATGTAACCAAATACAAGGGCTGGCGTCGGACGATCCCCGAGCCCTCAACCCCACGCCCTCGCGCGCGAGCGTGTGTGTGCGTATGTGTGTGTCCTGAAGCCGTAGAAAGCACGTGTACTTTTCTGTGGCACTAGGTACACAGTCCAGTCGCAGAAAGTCACTCGCAGACCGCGCGGTGCGTGACTGTACGGTACCCGTACCGCGAGGGAAGTTCGCGCGGTCCGCACCCCGATGCAGATATCTGTGTTTGCCAACCTTTGACTTCGTGCCCGAAGCACGGGCGTCGGAATGACGATTACAAAAAGAGCATCTCGCGAAATTAATGAGGCCGTTAAACAATTAAAACTTGGCGCGTTATCAGTTGTGCGCCGATTGTCGCAGAACGTTGATTAAATTTGGCACAGCCAAGTACCTACTCCGTGCCGCGTTCTCCAAGTGCGTTGTCGGATTTATTTCTGCCCTGGATGGCCTGGCCGTGCTTTGTGGTGTGGAGTGGGGCGACGGCTGGGCCTTATCACTCCAAGTGCCTCTTCTCTGTCTCACTTAGAGTCCGTCCGCAGAGCGAGGGGGGAGGGGGGCGGCACTTTCGCTAGTCCACCGGCACAATCGATTTCCGCAGTGTTGAATCGTTCTTCTCTCACCAGAAAACAAGCATCGCCGTGATCGCCACGTCGCCGTCGACTGCAGACCGCCACCACGACGGGGTCCTGGACGACCTCGGCGAGGACGTCGGCGAGGACGTCGGCGAGGACGTCGACGGCTTGCCGGCGGGGAGGGCTCGGGTCGAGGACGGCGACGACACACTAGGCTTACGACCGCCGAGGCCGGTGCCTGTAACTTGATTAGAACTAGGGGACGGCCGGGAGCCCAGCGTCTAGCCTCGGTGGGCGGCGGGCAGGGTGGAGACATGGCGCAGTCCAGGCCGTCGCGGAAAATATCTTAAAACCGTCAATGAACGTCTGAAACAAGCCTATGTTTCGAAAAAAAATAACAGTGATCGTGATTTGTTGTATCGTAACAATCGCCCATTCAAACTACGCGCGCACCGCTTCGGCAGGCCGCAGCCGGTGCTATTCACAGTCACTGCTTATTGGCACTCGCGAGACAAGGAAATCTGTTGTGTGTGTACAGTGCACATCCTGCGCACAGTGAGAGTTGTCTGTTGTGAATCACAGAGTTGAGATAAGTGATTGGCAGATTGGGTGTTTGTTTTGCCGTCTGAACGCCCCCCGGACGCTGAATTTGTAAGGCCGCCTCACCGGTTTGCTCCACTTCGTCCATTTCGCCTTGTCGTCCGTCCCCTTCTGCCGAAATGGTGGGTAAAGCGCTGGGATCTCCTCGCATTGTTCTGGGCGTACCCGCACCGGACTGTCACTCAGTTGTCATTTCCTCTTCTCAATCGTGTTGACGTGTCAAACAGAATAGATATTTGCTGTTTCTGTTTTGTTTCGTTGATAATTTTAACCTGTTCGTGTGAGTTTAAATCTCGTCGCTCGTCTCATGCATTGTTCTTGGTTATGGACTGTCTCCTTTCTGTGGCCCTTGTGCTATTATACTTCATGGGTAGCGCACATTTTGATAGTTTTGGACTTGACCCACTCTCAAGGAGTATTAATCAATTTTTCTGCTTTCCAGTCGGGCACTGTCAAAGTCTGTGAAATCTCCGAAGAAGTCCGTGAGGCTATGAAGAAATTTCGCTTCCGCAAGCACGATAACAATGCTGCTCTCGTGTGTAAGTTCATCTCTGTTTTCCCCAAAGAATCCTACCCTACGGATATCAAAATCTTAGTATGTTACGCGTCTCTATTTAATCTTGTTTGTTGCAGTAAAAGTCGAACGGGAGAAACAGTTAATAATAATAGAAGATCTGTTTGAGGTTGGTTCAGTGTCAGTCATGCTCATGAAGGTCAGCAATGTCTTGCTGCAACTATCTCATTTAAAATTTTTCATTTTGTTTTTCAGGATATCAGTCTGGAAGACTTGAGAGAGTCTCTCCCTGGACATCAACCTCGCTATGTGGTCTACAGTTACCGCATGCAGCATGAGGATGGTCGCATATCGTTCCCTCTTTGTTTCATTTACATCACTCCAAGGGGTAAGTTACTATCTTGCTCTGATGATCTTTAAAATTGCAAGTCTGGAATTTGTTAATGTTTTATTATTCTGATTTGTTCCTCAGACTCTCAAATGGAGCTGCAAGTGATGTACGCTGGAAGCAAACTAGCTCTGCAGAAAGAAGCAGATCTCACAAGGGTCTATGAAGTCCGAGAACTAGAAGAGCTTACTGATGAGTGGCTCCAAGAAAAGCTTTCAAAGTAAAATTTATTACATGTTTTTTCTGATAATGTCAGATTTGTTTACCAAATTTTAAATTACAACTTATGAACTAGGTAGATCCCAATGGTTGTGCCATTGTGAATCTTGCCATGCTTTCAAGCTTCATTTTAATGTGGTGGATACACTGGTATTTTCCCTTTGTTTTATTGGCATGAAAGTCAGTGATATCTTTCCATACTTTCAGCGTATCACTGTATAGTTTTGTGATCTACTTTGCATTTTCCTGCTCTGCTAGCTTTTGTTTTTATGCTCGTACTATTGGATGTTTATTTTGTCTTCCACTACTGTTGATGCGGGTACTGTAACTTAAAACAAGAGAATGCATTTAATAATGTTGCTGTGAAGTGAATTTATAGTAATTGGTTAAGTACGCACAAATATCTTCTTTCTTTTTAAAGATCCACTATTTATGGACTCTCTTTTAATTTCTTTTCAATTTGTAAAACTTCACTTTTCCACAGTTTCCATTTTCCCCAAATCTACGGTCTGATTTTGCTTTAGTGTTTGATATTTTCAAGTTTGTGATGGTGTAAGTAAATCTCTCTTTTGTTCCAGCAGCCATATTTTTATTGATCTCCATCCACTGAGATTACATTGCCTTCCATTTTGTTACAAATCTTTTTCATAATCAAATATTGTATTTGTAGGAATATTTTGAACACTGCCAATTAATGTGTTCTGTTAAAAGCAGGAATGAGGTGATTCTCTTATTCTACCATGCCTGATAACAGTTTCTGTTTATCTCTGTCCAAATTTTTATACAATACATGTATACAGTACTATGATACAATGTCTTTTTAAGTGCCGGTAGTGTATTAGAATAGGAATTTATCGGATTGTATACAGTGTCTGGTTAATGTTACTAAAAACAAAACTGCTTTTGAAAACTTTTTTTACCAAATTGACTAGTCAAAAACTGTTTTGTGTTGATCTGTGGTAAGTTTCATTTCAAGTATACTCTGTTGTTTTGTGATCTTTTTAGAATATTGTTTCCATTGCTCGCATAAGTGTGTAATTAGTTGGTATGTATTTCTCTTATAATTTTCGTCTTCACTGATTGAAAATTGTGGCATGCGTGAAGACAAGGTTACCCTGAAGACATTTTTTAAATGTTGTATTAATTTTGTTGTCATTTGTCTGTGTACTACAGTATTCCAATCATACTTTAAAGAGTGTAGTCTTGTATGATGTCAAAGGTTAGTGTGTTGATTTTATACAAACTTTTATAATGGTATCCAATGTAATCCCTTAAAGTTTCATGCAACTTTGTGTTAAAATTCAGACAGTTTCAAAGATCTTCTACAAATAAGCATTGTCGATGATGCATGAAACCTCAAAATAAATGTATATTTGTCATATTTTCTGTCATCATTCATATTCCCCTGTTTCCAAACAAATGTACTGAGAGTAACAACTGTCAGTGAGGAAACGAAAATAACGCGAAGGAAAACAAACTTTGCACCACAAGAATTTTTGAACACATTGAAAAACTGGCTTACGGTGTCAAAGAAATGAATTCCTTTCTAAATCATATCGTCCTTCGACAGCTGCTCGTTCGCCGAGGCGGTAGGCAACCCAACGCTCTCCTCAGCGCAGCGGTCCGCCGGGCGCTTAGGCAACTCACATCACGCCAGCCGTGTGGTCCGCCGGGCAGGTAGGCAGCCCATCGTACTGGCTCTCCCGGGGCAGCGTAAAACGCGTCGAGTGTTGTATCTCCAGGTCTGCAGAAAGCGCAAGTGGTAGAATGCCCGTGTGTGGACACAACAACGCCATACAGTGCGCCGCGCCGTGTCCAAAGCGGGCAGTGGGCCTTCCGCCGTTCCACGAGTGAGACAGAGACGGAAACAAGAGCAAGGTCGAGGTCCCGCGCCACGCCGCGCCACGCATGTCACAGAATACATACGGGTGTCCTGCGGGCAGAAGGGGTCGACCCGCATCACCGTGCCGTCGCTCTGTCTCTCTCGCTCTCGCACGGGACGCCTAGGGACGCCCCACGGCCCCACGAGTGCGACAGAGACAGAGCGACGATCTCTCGGAATCGGCCGGTCGGTCCTTGGCGGCGAGGTGTGGCGCCAGGCGGCGGGTTTCTCGCCTAGGTGTCGCCAGGGCAAAAAGTGAAAAAATAATTAATGGAACTAATCGGCAATTGGTGATTTTGAACAGCCGAGAACTCTCTTTCACCAAGAACGCCGCGTTTTCCTCAGATTTTTTTCGAAGGTACGTACTACGAAATTCGAACAGTGGCAATATTTTTGTCCAGCCAAGATGAAATCTGTGCGCCAAACCACGCCACACTTAAATATTTCAATTGGGCTGTGAACTTGGCCTTGGCTGTCGGATGAGTGAGCCCTCTGGGCTGCCTCTAGGCCTTCTAGACTAGACGGATGGATGGTCGTGGGAGGATGCCTGCGCTGGGGCCGGCACGGCATGGCACGGCAAGGCACGGAGGGCCTAGCAGGGGCCTAGCGGATGTAGTGATGTAGCAGAAGCCCGTGGCGTAGCGTGGCGTGCCCCGCATCGCGATCATAGTAAACCACACTGTTCCTCTGCCCTTGCCACGCGTTTAGACTGCCCACTGATTCCGACGAGGGGAGCAAAACGGTCGGGCCCCGCCGGTACTGGAACCCCTGCCCTCGGCGCTCGCCGCTCGGCGGGAGCCCTACATAAAGCCCTTACGCCCGCACGCACGCGCGTGCGCCTGGGAAAGCGTTCCGGAGAATTTCTCATACGTTTTCTAGGCGGCATTTTCTAACGAGTCCGGTGGCAGGGCGGTGCTTGGCGTGGCAGCGCAGGGGTAGGCCGGCAGGCGGCGGTACTGCCCGGCCACTTTCAGAGATGCGACACATAGATGCGCCAGGAGGTTGAGATTTCAGTTGCTCGAGAAAAGTCGCCCGACTGGCCGCCGCGGACTCGGCCGTCTCTCTCGCACCCCCGGGGCGCCCGGCCTGCGCCAGGCACGCCCTGCGAGTGCGACAGAGACAGAGAGACTGGCCGCCAAAACTTAAACCGAGGTGAGAATCAGGTGGACACGACACGAGCGAGCTCGCCACGCCATTCTCGCCATTCAGCGCGGCGACAAAACTTTCCTCCTGCTGGAGCTCCTCGAGGCCTCCATTCATTACCGATGCTTATCTGGGGCCGGTCGCCTGGCCGTGCCTGGCCGCGCGCACCAAGGACTGCGGACTCCAGGCGACGAGGTGGCCGTCGTCGGTCGCCCCGGACCACGAGACCGCCGTGTTCTAGGCTACCCTTGGCCCGAACGCCCGAACAAGGCACCCCCATGCCTGGAACGGAAGCACAGCGAAGCACAGGCCACACCGGGAGCACACGTGTGCGCACGCACACACACACACACACACAAACACACACACACGTGTAAGAGGTGAGAGGGGCGCTCTAGGGGTCCTCGGAGCCCCCCAGTCCACGCCAAGGCTAGCCAAGGTCAGGGGGCCTGGCCTGTCCCGTCCCGAGCTGTTTGTTGGGCTAGGGCGCGCTGGCGTGCCATGGCCAGCAGGCTGTCTCTCTCGCACTCGCGGCACGTGCCGCGGGAGTGCGAGAGAGACAGCTTGTTGGCCCGGGGGCCCCGGGGTCAGAGGTTGCAGCTTGCGTGAGTGTGCATTGAGTGAGCCACGATCAGAAGGCCGCCTCGGGCCGATTCCGCCTCCGTCTCTCTCGCACTCATGGGGCGCACCGCGTGGGTGCGAGAGAGACAGAGCGACGATGGGGCCTCGGAATGACGCAGCCCTGCTGCCGCGCTGCAACGCTGACGCTGATCGTTTGCCTGCAACAAAAGAGCCGCTTTGCCAATTTCCCGCGCTGTCGCCGGCTGCTTTGGCAGCACCATCCGTCTGTCTCTCTCGCACTCATGGGGCTTTCCGTACAGGTGCGAGAGAGACAGAGCGACGAAATCAGTCTGCAGAGCATTTTTTGAGATTTGTCCGCCGCAGCAGTGAGAACCAAAAACATGGAAGATGGAGTCACTGTTTGTTAATGTTGTTGTTTTTTTTGCAGTGTCGGTGCTACGGCCCTGGCTGCCGTGCGCGCGGCGTGGCTTGGCGTTGCTTCGCGCCTCCAGGCTCGCCTCCAGGCTCACCTCCAGGCTCGCCTCCAGGACGGCTGCCAGGGCTTAGCACGCTTTGGAGTAGGAATGGCCCGTCGTCCCTGCAGGCCTGCAGGCCCTGCAGTGGGAAAGGCGGCAAGGCAGGGCAAGGCGCTCTGGTTCCCACTGGGTTCCCACACCGCGAGTGGTCGCGCGCAGCGCGCGGCCCAGCAGCCGACTCATTCCGAGAGTCGTTTTCGTCGCTCTGTCTCTCCCGCACTTACTCGGGCCGCCCCGTGAGTGCGGGAGAGACAGATCGACGACTCTCGGAATGAGTCTGCCGCCGCCCCAGCACCACCTCCAGTTCCCTGAGACCCTCCCCACCAGCACCCTCGCCGCTAAAACTACGCCAAAGTACAGGAAGGCGGCAAAGGCTTCGGGCCGTGCGCGAAACACGTAACACTCTTCGTGTCGCGGCGGTCGCGAGGCGACGCTCGCGACCTAAAATTCGAAGTGATTTGAGTATACATCATTCCAGTGTCAGTGCACACCAAGTACTAAGGGTAACCGATTTTTTTAAAACGTTGGGTGCGCATAGTCGTACACTAAATTGTATTGTGGTAAAGGCGGTGTGTGGATTGTGGTGATGAATGGTGACGCGATTTGCGCACAGTCCCCCAAGCCGAAGTTCAGAACTCTGCACTGCTCCACCTCCACGCACCCAAGCATGTCGAGCAAAGCACCCGGGGCTCGGCACGTTCTCACACGCGCCTTTGCCCAACAAATCCTTTCCTGCCGGTCCATTCCGAGCAGTCTGTCTCCGTCGCACTCACGGGGCGTGCCGTGAGGGTGCGAGAGAGACAGAGCGACTGCTGCCAAAGGCGTGAATAGGCTGAGCGAGCAGGGGAGTGGAGGGTTGACAGCGTGGCAGCCTGCTGTAACGACTATGACCTGTCAGAGAGCGTCTGCAGACTGATTCCAAGAGTCGCTCTGTCTCTCTCGCACCTAAGCGGGACGCCCCGTGAGTGCGAGAGAGACAGGGCGACGAAAACGGAATTAGACCGCTGCACGGGTTCAAAGTCGTCTCTATCCCTTGCCTGCGTCTGAGGGGTAGCCCAGGGTGGCGCCGGCAAGGGGTATCGCCAGCGCGTCACGTCGCGTCGCACCTGTTACCTCGGCTGCCCTCGGCTGCCTTCGGCTCCCTTCGGCCGCGCGTTCGGCGGCGTCCCGGCGGGGGCGGGAGGCGGCGCGCGGTTCAACCCGGTCCGCCGCTCCAGCCGAGCCGGCCCAGCGCCGCGCCAGCCACAGCCAGCCAGTCAGTCTCTGTTCAGCCGGCGTACCGCTCGCTCCGTCCGTCCGCCCCGTGTCCCGAGTTTCCTGAGCCCAGTGCGCGTGCGTGCAGTGTCTGTGTGCTGTGGAGGCGCTGCGCCTGGCGATGCCCCACGTGCAGCTGTGTGGCAGGGGTGTTAGCACCTCGCGTTGAACGTGGCGAAAGTGAACCACAACACTGTGTTACCCAAGCCGCGTTAGTGACAGTGTCTTGTGCTGTGTGTGAAACGAGCGTCTGTGTGTGTGTGTGTGTGCGCGTGTGTGATAAGAGCAAGGGCTGTGCCACCCCGGTGGTGACCTCTGGCTGCCTCTGGCGCGGCGAGTCGGTGACTCATCGTTCGAGGAAGCGTCGACGCCACACACAAGGTGAGTCCGGCGAGTACCTGTCACGCCGACACTATAAGCTGGCGTGTATTCGCACGATGTCGGCTGGACGCTGGACGCCTGCCAATAGCGTGCGAGGTGAGGGTGGCCGTGGGAACAGCTTGGCCAGGCTCGGCGTTCCGCGGGGTGACTTTTCCCAGTGTCGCGACTGCGGTTTGAATTTCACCGCCAAAACTGAAGATTCTGCCGAGTCAAATTCTGTCGCGGAAAACGACGTGTCGAGGGCGCGGGATTTGAAAGTGGAGTTTTGGCGCCAAAAAGGTCTTCGCTGTCGACGTGGTGGCCATTCTGTGGTCATTCCCCGCCCCCTTCCAGTGTGGACTCTCGGACTGCGGCGCTGCAGACTGATTCCGAGAGTCGCGTTCGGTCGCTGTGTCTCTCTCGCACGCTCGGGGCGCCCCGTATAAGTGCGAGAGAGACAGAGCGACGAAAACGACTTTGGGACTTGCGGACTCGGCCCGGTGATTGAGTGTCCGCAAATAGCTCGTGGCGTCGTCCCCGTCGTCCCCTTGCGGACTGATTCCACAGCGTCGCGCTCTGTCCCTCTTCCGCTCTGGCGCGCCGTTCCGTGCGTGGTTCCGCGCGGGTGCGAGAGAGACGGAGCGCTCTTGTTGACGCGCGGTGGCCGAAGCAGCGCGAAGCTCACCGAAACGGGCACTTGAGGAATGGCTTTGCCGGGCCGACCGTCTGGAAGACGACGCACAGTGGGCCAGAAGACCGGTGGAGGCGGGAACTCTAGTCGCGTTTTGAGCCCCAGAGTCGCTATACGTGACTCGAACCGAACGTGTGACCCCACCAATGGACTGCTCTCCGAACGAGGAATCCATTGGTGGGGTCACACGTTCGGTTCGAGTCCCTTGTAGCGACTCTGGAGCTCAAAACGCGTCTGGAGTTTTGGCCGCCTACATCGGTCTTTTGGCCCACTGTGCGCCTGGAAGACGACGACGAGGAGGACGGAAGATGTGGCGGCCGATACCGTCCGGCAATAAATCGCAGTGACGTCACTCCAGCCGTCCCGCCGCGCTCTGTCTCTCTCGCACACCCACGGGGCGCCCCGGGAGCGCGACAGAGACAGAGAGAGCGACGCGTTCGGAATCAGTCCGCAGGTCGGCGCAGCCAATCGGGACGCTTGTTGTCAGTTCCCCCTGCTGGATGAATCGGCTGTCACAACGCCCGTTAAAAAGGTTAAAGCGTTAAGAACGTTTAAAACACGTTATTATCGTTCGGCAGGCGGCGGGGATCGAACCCAGACCTTGGCCCCCTGGCCGCTTGGAAGGGGTTCCTTGTCGCTTGTCCCTGCCGATGACGCTGCCCCTTCCGGGGACTTGTCTTTTACGAGATAATAACTGCCGAACAGTCTGTCCCTCTCGCTCGCACGGGGCGTCCCGTAGGGCCAGTAGGGGTGCGAGAGAGACAGCCGAGCTGGCGCCATCTACGGGCCGTCATTCCAGACGCGTGTCGGGCGGGACGGCGCGGGACGGGTTAGTGGCTTGTATCGCCGTGCGGCGCAGCGGCGCATTGTCTAGCAGGAATGTCCATATTGTCCACATGACTCCTCCAGTCCTCCCGTCGGACTGACGGCCTGCCCGACGGGCGCCAGCGAGGAGCGCCGCCGCGCCCCCGGCCTGTTACACCACGGTTAAACGAATCGGCACGCGTGAACAGGTGCATAAGCCCGCAGTGGGCCAGAAGACCGGCGGGCGCAGCCAACATTCTAGACGCGTTTTGGATCTCCAGAGTCGCTAAACAGTCAAAGCGAACGTGTGACCCCACCAATGAATTCTTCGTTCGGAGAGCAATCCATTGGTGGGGTCACACGTTCGGTTCGAATCCCATTTAGCGACTCTGGCGCTCAAAACGGGTCTAGAAATTCGGCCGCCTCCAGCGGTCTTCTGGCCCACTGTGCGACTCTGTTCCTGGCAGTGTGGTGGCGGAAGCGGCGACGCGGCCGCATCGCCTCTCTTGATCGCGCCGCGCCTCGGCTCGCTTTGGCTCGCTTTGGCGGCTTTGGCTTGCTTCGGCGCGTTGTTTTGTCTCCTCGGCCCTGGGAGTGCCTGGGAGCGAGGAGGACGCGCTCCGTCTCTCTCGCCCCCGCTGGGGAGGGCCGGGACTAGCCGGGGCGGGCCGCGTGCGCGAGAGAGACGACGGGTCCCACAGGCCACCTGCTTGCTCATTCCGCCGGCTTGCCTTCCGCGGTGGCGGCATGAAGGGCGGGAAATTTAAACGCAGGGGTGCGTCCGAAAGGCCGCGTCGTCTGTCCGTCTCGCTCGCACGGCGGGGCGCCCATTACTCGAACGCGCTGCGCGGGGGGCGGGCCGGGTCAGGGCGTGGCGTGGCGGGGCGGGGTGACTTGTGAAAGCGCGCGATTTAATTATTGCAGAATGTGTTGCCACGCCGCTCAGCCAATCAGTCATTCATTAGCGGGGGGCGTGGCGGCCGGGTGCTGGAGGGCGACGACGAGGACGTCGAGGACGCCGACGACGGCAGGGCGAGGACGTCGACGACGGCGGGGCGAGGACGCCGACGACGGCAGGACGAGGACGACGTCGGGGGGACGGTGAGGACGCCGACGACGGCAGGGCGAGGACGCCGACGACGGCAGGGTGAGGACGCCGTTGACGGCAGGGCGAGGACGGCGGCGCCGCGCTGAGGTCGAAGTTGAGGTGCGGCTGGTGACGCAACGTTCGCCGCGTCGGGTTATTGGGGTAGAGGCCTGGCGGCCCAGCTTGGCGGCGGCCCGGCGGCCCGACGGACAGGTTCAGTGCGTTGCGGTGGCGTGGCTTGGCGTGGCTTGGCGACCCCAGGCCCTCTGTGTGCGCTGTGCGCCGTCAAAGAAAGGCGTGGCAGGTGTCGAGACAGAGTGTGTGCGTGTGTGTGCGTGTGTGTGATACGACTGGTCGCGTCTGGTGACGCAGTCCCGCACTGTTACAGGCACCGAGAATTTGCCGGGGAAAGTCTGCCCGCCCGAAAGCGTTGTGCTCACACTGACCAAAAATAAAAATAGAGGGCTAGAAAAACGAAACGTGTCGCCGTGCTGCTGAAGTTTGGTTTTCCGGCACGACTTTCTGGGAGTGTGCAGCACCGCGGCGTTGCCGGCGTTGCAGTGCGAGGCACGGTGTCGGTGTCTGGACGCACTTCGCGTTTCTCAGCCAGCACACTGTGGGACTTCTGAGTACTGAAGCAGAGAGGAGGGGCTGCGAAATCCTATCTCTCCCGAGCCCTGCTGCCGCTGCCGCCGCCACTTGGCACTGCAAGCCAAACTTTCCACTCCAATTTCTTTTTTCCTCGTCAGTGGCATGCTTGGCTCTGCCGGCGACAGCGTTCGATGCTCTGGAGGGCCGGAGGCCATGGCGAAGGACACCTGGACCTGGTCACGTCTGTTGCCATTATTTCTCGCGCTCGGCAACACAGGGCGTTGGTCCGTGAAGAGTATCATTGTCGCGTACGAGTAGAGAGGTTTCAGTCTCCGAACGTCGGACGTGTGCGTTCAGCGCGCAATTATATTCGAAACACGGGATTGTCTTTGGTATTGACCCCACAACAAGGATTGGGGGAGTGTGACTACCAGCCCTGGCAGCAGTGCGACACGTACTGACGGACCGGGTCCCCATAATCAGCTGGCGATAAGAAAATTAAGTCGCCACCACGCCCCATCCTTGTCCTGGACGTGTCATCCCTCTGCTGTGATTTTCTCTCTGTGTGTGTGTGTGTGTGTGTGTGTGTGAGTGTGTGTAGTAGGTGTGCTTTGCGGGCGACCTGTTCCGGAAGGAGCGCTCTGGATGTGGTCACGTAATCGTTTGCGATGAGTGACTCATGCGGTGGCCTTTAAATTGGGCGTGCGGGTGGAAGAGAGAGAGAAGGGGGGGGGAAGGTAAGCATAGGCGTCTCAACAACAACCCAAATACAGTAGCACTCGCTCTGAAACTCACACTGTGTGTGTGTAGGTGTGTGTGTCGTCGCGTCTCGCGCTGATGAGTCAGGTCCACCGTGGACCACTGCTCATTATGGGAAGGACCGATGTCCGTAAATCAGAGTGTTGTTGTTGTCGTTGTTGTTGACGCGATGAAGGGCGTGGGCGAGGCGCCGTGCGAATAATCCCGCCATTAAAGAGGCGCAGGAAGCGCGGGTGGAGTGCCAAAAGTGCGACGCGGCGCGACGACGCGGCCACCACGACGTCCTTGGCGCGGTCCCTGACGCGGTCCCTGACTTTGGGCGCGCGCGAGTTCAACCGTGGAGGTCAGCAGTCACTATGCTCGTTGTTTTTATTTTGTACTTTTTTATATTTTTTTTTTCCGGCGGACGACGTTGGAGAAATATGGTCCGGGCTGAAACAATCTACATAGCGTCATTCGTGTCGGCATCCTCTACGCGTCCTTCAAGCAAAAAATAAATAAATTAAAAATAAATAAATAAAGAACCAAAAAATAAAGGAATGGTTCGTAAAAATTAAGTTTTTTACGAGTGCAGGCGCCACGCACTTTTGCCTGACGCTGCGCTGGGCTGGGCCAAGCTAGGCTAGTCCGTGACGCACCCCGTCATCGCCGTGCTCAGCGCGTCGTCGCCACCGGAACTGCGACCGCCGCCGCCTCGGCTGCAGGCTGATGCACTCGCTCTGTCTCTCTCGCACCCCAGCGGGACGCCCCGTGAGTGCGAGAGAGACAGCGCGAGATCCGAATCTCAGTCCGGGCTCGGCGGTAGCCCCGTTCCGTTCGTTCCGTCTGACTGATGCGGCCCCGTGTCTCTTTATTTACGGCTGCGTCCGTCTCTCTCGCACTCGCGGTGCGTCGCCCTGCGTCCCGCAGCAGTGCGAGAGAGACAGAGCATCGCCTCGTTGTCGTTTGCATGCGTCCAAGTGGCGCGAGCGGAGCTAGGTCCGGCCTGGATTGTCGGAGAGAGAGAGAGGAGAGAGAGAGAGAGAGAGAGAGAGAGAGAGAGAGAGAGAGAGAGAGAGAATGTTTTAGTCGCAGAGCAAGACCCATTTG